GTTAAAGGCACAAGTTAAAAAACCTTAAGTAAAAATTAACCTGGAATTATATGTGCAGATTTGGCTCATAATATCTGTAGGGCATTTATCTTTTATTTTTTGAAAATAGGCAATGGATCTATAGGGCAATTCAAGTTTCAACAAATAGTTGATGGGCACCAAAAATAAGAGACAGGTCTTATTTGCATTAATTGAAGAGTCAGAAGATTTATTTACATCATTTTTAGTTTAAAACCTTTAAAAGCTAATTTAAGGTAAATTTAAAAATTTTTTAAAAAGCTTTTGCCAAAAAGATAAATATCATGAACTCAAGATCTTAAAAATATTAAAACTATTTAGAACTAATAATACTAAATAGGTAAGGCATAATGATAATGTACTAATGATTTAATCAACATTATTCTTTTATTAAGAGTTTCTCATATTAAAATTTTAAGGTATAAATTTAAGTTTCACTTTTTTAACGTAAAAAAAAAAAAAAGGGTAGGGCATAATGAAAAACAAGCAAAAAGGCGTTGACAATTTCCACACAATGACAATCTCAATCGTTAGTCAAGAAGAAAGATGACTCCATTTGCCAACAAAGCTATAACCCATAGGGTATGCTAATTTGGGTACTTTAAAGATACTATGCGTAATTAAAAGAGAAAAAGAAATTTTACCAAAAAAAAAAAAAAAAGAGAAAAAGAAAGAGGTAGTGGTAAGGTTTTTAAATTGAACCACTTGAGGGAAAATTAGCCATAAAAAAAAAGAAAATAATAAAATAAGTTTTTACTCCAATAGTGAAATAAAAATTATTGAACTGCTAAACGTTTTCAATACCATTAAGAGCCATTTCAAACCAATAATTTAATTTTAATTTTAATTTTAATTGCGCAACACTTTATTCTAACAATAAAATAGAAAGAAAAAAATACGAAGGCGAAAATTGGATTAAATGTGGTGACGTGGCACATTAGGGCAAAGTGGAAAATTGGTCGGTTGACTGAGAAGCCCAGAGGAAGACTATATAATGAGGGTCGTGGAGGGGTAAAACAGAGTATTCCTCTGGTTCAAAAGCGTTGGTTTTCCTGGTTTGTTTTTCCGGCGAGAGAATTACAGCCTGAGTCAGTGTTTACTTTATCCGGTTTCTGGGATTTTCTTCAATTTTCTGTTCGTCGTTCGACAACATGAAGAAGAAACTCGACACTCGTTTTCCTGCAGTAAGTTTTTTTTTTTCTATTAATCCTGCTTTTTCTTGGTTTCTTTGGTTATCTTGCATATTTTTCTTCTTAGTTGATGATTCTTTAAGTATAATTTTGTTAGAACATATGAAAAATATCTCCTTTCTTTGTTTTATAGAAGCAAATTGTTGCTTTGCTTGAATTAGATATTCTGGGTATTCGTTTACTTCCGGGTTGTAGTTGCTTTCTTTTTTTCTGGCACTGAGATACTTAGCATCTTACCAGCGCTTCATAGTGATTAATGAGACCTTTTGTTTAGGGCGTGGGTTTCCTTGCCGAAGAATTTTAATTTTTTGGTTATATGTATCTGAGGACGTGAGTTATCCAGTTAATGGGTTGACTGTTAAAAATTTTAACTTTGTTTGTCCTTTATAATGTCCTGTTGTGGTTGGAAAGCTGTGAACTTTATTCTTTGGGTTGAGTTAATTTTATGAGTTAATGTTGGATCTTGATTTTATGCTTCTTGAAATATTCTAACTCATGTTTATGTTTATTGTCATGCTTTTAAAATGCCGAATCTTTTAATGTGTTCTCTATGCCTGCCGAAGATATGCTTTTAAGACTATCTTGTCTAATTGGGGTTAATCATTCTACAGGCTCGGATAAAGAAGATTATGCAAGCTGATGAAGATGTTGGAAAGATTGCTTTGGCCGTACCTCTACTTGTCTGTAAGTGATGTTGATAGTTTGGTGTACTGTACATATTTGATCTTGTTCACTTACCCTTTATGATAATATTTGTAGCTAAAGCTTTGGAGCTCTTTCTGCAAGATCTATGTGACCGAACATATGAAATAACTTTAAAGAAAGGCGTCAAGACTCTGAATTCGTTTCATCTGTAAGTGGATCTTTTCATCAGTTCATTTTAATGGGTTTAAACTTTATTCTTCACTTCCATTCTCTGTCCATCACCTTCTGCTCATACCCATCAGACCATCACCCACCAATAGCCCCGGTCTATACTCCACATTTGCCATGAAATCTGTAACTTTGGATCATATGAAGAATTTTAAATTATATGGTTCAGATCTTACTGGAGTAACTAGGGATGTTGCTTAAAGAACTTTCAGAAAGTAAACCTGCTGCTTTGAGTCTCTGACTATTTCTCTAATGGTAACTCAACTATTGGTGGAATGGTAGTAATGGTTCCATGGTGCATGGAGTTAACTGCAAGGAGAGTCCAATCTCCCCATGTAGTCTTCCCTCTTCTATATTTATTAATTTTTATTGTATCTTCAGTGCTATTTTCTGTTGGGTTATGAAAGTGATGTAATTTATATCTTGATTTTTATCCTTGCAGAAAACAGTGTGTGCAAACCTTTAATGTTTTTGATTTTCTGAGAGAAACTGTCAGCAAGGTTACTGATCTAGGTGGTTCTGATGCTGCTGATGAGGACCGTTCTGTTTGCAAAAGAAGGTTTGCTTAATTGTCCATTATTTTATTATGCTAGTATTAATATGCTAGTATTAATGGGTGAAGAAACACGAGTCATTTTACGAGGAATGGTATTGTTGATACTTTTGACTTTGGCAGGAAGGTTGTTGATGATGACAACAGTGACTGTGATGATGAGCCCAAGAAGAGCAGAGTGGTAAATTGTTTGCTTATTTTCTGTTTGTTGTATTCAGTTACAGATAAAGAATAGCACAATGCGATTTCATATTTTGAATCTTAGCATGAAACAAGTGAAGCTTCACACCACATTAAGTTCCTCATGCACTGTTTCCATATTGCAGGATGCAACCGGCAACCTAAGCAGCAGAGGAAGGGGAAGGAGCAGAGGTAGAGGTCGTGGTCAAAGCAGAGGCAGAAAAATAATGGAGCAAGAGACGGTTCCACATCATGAGAATTTTGAAGATGATCCAGACACTTCTCACCAGCAAGAAGCAAATGACTTAGATTTTCAAAGGGTGGATAGTAGCAGAGAGCCTGATGAGGAGGCAGTGCAAGCTAACAATAATTTGAAAGTCCCAGTTCGAAACTTTGACCTCAATGTTGGCTTGGATGAGAATGGTGACTCGATCCTCCCAGTTTCTGCCCCTGCTACTCTGATCATGAAGACCATCCCTGAAATTAAACATGACGAATACCCCGGCTGGTGCCTTTCTGAAATTGACAAGATGGCCATAGATCCTACTCAACTCACCAATTTCAATGGGAGAATAGATGAGGATGAGGAAGATTACGATGAAGATAGTGAATGAATTTGTGCCGGAGAATTTTGTCCATTAGGTTTGTAGTCAGTTCTTTTCTAACCCAAGAACAGAGTAGATATCAAGGTAATACATGTGATAGGAAGATTAGGGGAAATCTGTGAAGTACTTTCTTTCTGGAAATCAGTGAAAATAAAAAAGTCTAGCAATTAAGCTTCAAAATATTTTTATCTTTACATTTTAGTTCTAAACCTTATTGTTTGCTACCATAGACACACATTACTTGCAATAATCCCCCCCTTTTTTTTTCTCCTGTTAGTGGTATTGAAGGTAAGGGATTCAATATTGTCTCTCATGTATGAGGAGAAAATGCACCTTGCCTATTGAGCTAAAAGCTCTGGTGTTTCAGGAAAGATTGCATAGCCAAATTCAATACTCTTCTTTAAAGAGCTAGAAGCTCCGGTGTTTCAGGAAAGATTACATGGCCAAATTCAATACCCTTCTTTAAAGAGCCATGTTGGATGCAGTTTGGACTGCAATTTGATATAATTTGAACTAAAAAGACACTTTTTTTAATTCCAAAAGTATTAGATTAATTTGAATTTAATCCAAACTTGAATTAATTTAACTAATCCAATAAGGAAAATATCTAGAAATATATATAATAAAAAGTTTTTTAATTTTCCAATTTTGGCTGCAAATCAAGATTTTTTTAATAAAAATAACTTTTAATATTTTCATTAAAGGAGAAGTGTGGTGATTCCCATGTGTGTGCAGTCTGGATTGCACAATAAACTTTTTTTATTTTTGGTCCTCTTGTTTTTTTTTTAGTATCATCAAAATTTGACTGTCATATTCCAGTCTTCACCAACGCTGCGTATCGTAGGCCAGTTCTTTGCAAAACCCTAATTTCTCTTTCTGCAATTCAATTGAATCGATCAATCCTGTATACAGAAACAAGGGATGGCTGTCGCGGTTCTTGGTCAGCTTAACGTGAACGAGTTGCCTTTGGGGGGATCTAGAAGCGTCGATTGTTTCGACAAATTGGAGCAGGTTGGCGAGGGCACTTACGGGTCAGTTCTCTCTTTGTTTCGTTGTTTCCTACAGTACTACAATGTCTATGTATGATTTTTTGCGTCGACATGATATCAACCTGCGTGTTTTTTCTATTTGCAGTCAAGTTTACAGGGCCAAAGAAAAGAAAACGGGTGAAATTGTTGCTTTGAAGAGACTACGAATGGACAAAGAGAGAGAAGGGGTATGTTTATGTTTTCACCATTTTTCCTCCTTTTCATATTATCTAATGTCTTTTCTAATAATTTATTTATCTGTTCAATTTCTATCCCCTGCAGTTTCCAATCACTGCTATACGTGAAATCAAAATTCTAAAGAAGCTAAATCACAAGAATGTAATTGAGCTTAAAGAAATTGTGATTTCTCAAGGTAATATTGCCAAATGCTATATATCTATGCATGCAGCCATTTATGTCTGTCCATGCATTTCTAATTGTGGTTATGACTGCTTCTGTTTTTTCCCCTTCCAAAGTATAGCTGTGTTGTTTCCTCTAAATATCTTGAGTGTTGGGTTTGATTTCCAGATGACGAGAAGAATGAGCAGGAGAGGCTGCCCCATGGCAAGTATTTAGCTGCTTCTGCACCTTTTCCTGTTGAAAGAGTTCCATGAATTGGAATTTGGGTTTGATCTCCGGAGATATTGCTGACATCAATTACTTGTATTGCAGGTGGTAATAAGTATAAAGGTGGAATTTACATGGTGTTTGAATACATGGACCATGATTTGAGTGGTCTAATGGACAATGATTTAATGGGTCTTCCTGATCGGCGGATGAGATTTTCAGTTCCCCAGATTAAGGTATCACAAATTTGAAGGAGGACTATCTGTGTTCAATTCTTGAGAACCTATTGAAGCATTTTACCCTTTTTCTTTTCTTTTTCTACAGTGCTATATGATTCAACTGTTGAAGGGACTTCGTTATTGTCACTTAAATCAAGTTGTTCACCGTGATATCAAAGGTTCTTAAGATAGCAACTCCTTCTTGTTGACTATTGTTTCTGAATTTGGGAATCCAAAATAAGTTGTTTTGCATTTTTGTTGCAGCTTCTAATCTTCTTATAGACAATGAGGGTAATCTAAAGCTTGCAGATTTTGGGCTTGCCCGGCTTTTCTCAAGTGAACACAATGCCCATCTTACAAATCGTGTTATTACTTTATGGTACAGGTATTTTTTTTGTTCTCTTGATAAAGATTCTGGTAAAATTAACTAAATCCAACTTCTCAAAGACTGATTTAAACTTAGTTGATCTGATTTCTTTCATAATTTGTACAGACCTCCTGAATTGCTGCTAGGAGCAACACAATATGGTCCAGCTGTTGATATGTGGTCTGTTGGTTGTATTTTTGCTGAACTTTTGAGTGGAAAACCTATTTTCCCTGGAGCAGATGGGGTTCGTTACTTTTTTTGGGATAAAATAATTGAATGTCTTTTAATTGGTGGAAGAAACAAAGATAGAAAGATGAGACATGACCAATGGTGAGAACATGTGAGGCATATGAAGAAAATGGCCCTAGATATTGCTGATTGACATGCATGATTCTGTGTACTTGGTTAATGGTAGCTAAATATTGTAGCTACTAGCTATATTAGTGAAAGTTTACCCATTCAAGATTCAACTCTTTACTGAAGTGGGCTTGACATAGTTGAGTTGGAGTTTCTCTTTTTTACTTCCATACTTACGTAGTAAGCAGATTTAGATCTTTTCACCCATGCACATATTAAGCTAGTACACTTCTGATGATTTCAATCTTCATATTGGTAACTGCTTTCAAGATCCCTACATAACTACGTTCTCTTTTTGATTGTTACAGCCGGACCAGTTAAAGAGAATTTTTGAGTTGTGTGGGGCTCCAGACGAGGTCAATTGGCCTGGGGTTTCTAGAATGCCCTTGTATAGAAACTTCAAGCCATTGGGGCCAAAGGAGAGATGTCTTGGAAAATGGCTGCTTCAATGTAATGGTTTTGACTGTCATGCTTTGCAGTTGTTGGAGAGGATGCTGACTCTCAATCCCTCTCAGGTATCATGTGATATATTTATCTGCTCTATAATATCATTACTTGACCTATTAATTGTCTGCTATGACTAATCTTGTCTCCAAAATTGGTTTAGATGTTTAACCATGACTTATTTGAGTATAGTAGTAGTTGTTATTATCATTATCTAGGAGTAGAAAGAGTTATTGAGGATCTTAGACTCAGTCCTTTCAAATATTGTTTTTGAGTTGACAGCTAAAAGTAAATAGCTTTCTTCCAAAATCACTCTGATAGCATGACATAATAATCTAAATGCTCTTAATGCCCATTTTCTAATCAATTTCTCATCCTTTCCTATTGTTGTAAAATAAACAGAGAATATCTGCCAAGGATGCACTTGAAGCTGAGTATTTCTGGACCGATCCATTACCTTGTGATCCAAAGAGGTATATGATTCTCTCTTTTGTTGATTCTTTTTCTGTTTCGGACAATTCTCTGGTTATTTGAATTAGTATTTCTTTCTTCAGCCTACCTAAATATGAATCTTCACATGAGTTCCAAACAAAGAAAAAGCGCCAGCAACAACACAAACATGGTGAAAACGCTAGGCATCAGAGGCAACAGCACTAACAGTATGGTCAGCATCATTAAAGACTTGACAACAAGATTAATGGTTGTGTAGAAGATTTAGACGTATTATTGATGATCACTGATATTGATCAGACAACATCACTCTGATGAGTGATTTGAGAAAACAGATGATGCTCATCTTAATATGATATGAGGCTGCACTCAGGCTTCTCCATATGAATAACATTTTGGGTTGCTTTGACAGCCTTTGCTGCCATTTGGCAATAACTCGAATGGTTCAGTAAATTGGTTAATTTTTCAGCATTGGCTGAGGAATTCATTGTAACTATCTAACTAACGTTCTCTTTTTCCCTGGAAATGATGTATACCTTCCCAGAAGTATAGGATGGTAAATCTTCGGATGGGTAGCTAACTTCAAACGGCTGAATCTTACAAATGTGATGTAAACTTTCACTTTTCTCAGTAAACAATCAATAGATGAATTGTCCAACTTGATCAAATGATAAGTGAGAAAATCCCAAGGAGGATAAATATCTCTACTCATTGATTCATTGTTAAATACTCAAGGGTCTCTCTTATTGCAGGAAAAATGGTTCTGGACAAGCATGGAACAGACAGAATGGTTGTAAAACGGGGAACAATGCTTGGGATGTCGGCTTCAACTACGAAAAGAGATCAGTAGAAGAGGAGCCTTTTTCTTGTAGCAAATAAGCCCTCAACAACCTTAACTTGACAGAAGACAGAAAGGCGAAAACCCAAGAGTTAGGGGCCCCACTATCGTGACCTTACGCATGGTTTCATATGAGAACTAGAGGGTCATTTCATCTGGGGCAAAAAATAAAAATAATAAATAAATAAATAAAATACACAAAACAAAAGAAACGAAAGTCATTTCAACGGCGCCGCGCATCTTAAAGGGGTAGTACTATTATAATTAGCTTACCGTATTAAATTAAATTACCTTTTTTATTGTCAATAGAGAGATCATTTATCACAAAATTAAGAAAATCACTTTTTCTATTTTTTTGAACATTTTGTCATGGGGTTGGTTCAAACCGTTGCCCTGGAGAGGGGGATATGAATCTTACAAGTATGGTTAGAGCCACTTGGCTCGAAAAGCCAGGTTCCACTTTTTTTATTTTTGAAAAATTACACATAACCTATTTGTTGTAGTTTAACTGAGGGTATTTAAAAGCTTGTAGTAATTGAAATGTGCAATTAAAAACTTATGTTTTAAACCTTGAGCACTAAACCACTCTTACTATTCAAATGATGTTAAAATTATATGTAATATTTTAAATACCCTTAACTTAAAAAATAAAAAAAGAGAAACAAAATTCAATCGTCACACTTACTCTCTTTCATTTGCACCAAAAAAAACACTTATTCTCTTTGATAACAATATTTAAAAATTGACTCAAGTGAAGATAAAAATCAAACAAAATAATTCTTTACAGGTAATCAAATAAAATCTTTCAATCTAATGAAGTTTATATCCCAAAGTGAAATTTTGTTTCTAATTTTTTTTATCGACTTTTTTGTGTTTGGTTGGAAATTTTGTTGTTTGTTTAGAATTTAAAAAGTAAGGATTTCATTTGAAAATTGAAAGGTTTTACCTTGGTAATATGTAGTTATAAATAATATATTCTTGATTTTATGCATCTTTACTTTTAATTAGTTTCAATAGTACATGCTAATTATAAATATTTTATACATGTGCAAATTAATTTTTTTTTTCAATTGAATTGCACAAGTGGTTGGAATATAACTAGTTAAAATGAATGAATTAATTAATTATTATCGTTTTTTTTATGTATTTTGGCATATGGATGATAATAAGTTGCCAAGAAATAATGAGATTATAAATGGTTCTAATGAGTCAAACCAACTACAATTTAACTTTTAGTGCTAGGCAAGTCAGCGGTGTTAGGTAGGAAGGGCATAAAGGAATTAAGATAAAAAGTTAAGTTTTTAGTTAAGTTTTAACAACGAGAGTATCTTGCTACTCTTATTTCAAAACACATCTTTAAATGTACATTTTGAT